GGGGAGCAGGCAGAGAAAGCTAGCTAATTGGAGGTTAACATCAGTCATAAGGTAAGATGGCTCACTTGTGAACGGAACCAAGGAACTAAGTTTGACCTCTGAGAAATGTACTCTAACCTCCACATATACACACCTATACATGCAGTCACATACATTTTTACTATATATTCACTTTAAGTGTAATAAACTGTATGTGCACCACGTGTACACAGATCTCTGGAATTGGAATTATAGATGACTGTGAACCATGTGGGTGCTGGAAACCAAACCTGGATCCTCTGCAAGAACAAGTGTTTTTTAACTACTGCACCATCTTTCCAGCCCGACAAAATTTATGTAAGCCAACAGAATTCCACAAATGAAGGCTGCCTTACTGCTAGTGAAACTGAGATGTTCCCATGACAGGTCTGGCAGGTTACCACAGCATTTCTACCTTCCCAAGCCACATTGGCCAGTGACAAGTATATGCCATAGAGATAGGAGCCAATTGTGCTTATGGCTATTTCTCACTAAGAGAATGGATACACTCTAGAGCCATCAAATTACAGGGAAAGTGCATCCTCCATGGGGACTTGTTAGTCCGACCATTCCCACTGCAAGCGTCAGGGACTGTTATTCACCCCTACCATCTCCACAAACATCAGAGGTGTTGTCAAGGCTCACAGAAGTAATTTCACTCCACCTTGACCTTCAAGGTTATGACAAGTTTGACTTGGTGTGGCTGCCTACAGGATGTGGTCACTGCACATCCCATCTAAACAACAGAATATTTAACTCAGAATATAGATACTTGATGTTTCCAGTATTGAAGAGGTAATTACTTTGTTCCTTGTTTATATCACAGTAAAGAAGTCTTGCCTTCTTTCCCTTTTGGACTGGGGTATATAAAGCCTATGAAAAATAAACACAGGCAAATTCAGTATTCACTGCCTTGCCCTTCTGACTCTGCTCTGTGCTTCTGTATATTTCTTCTATATTTGTTGTTTTCTGCCTAATATTTCTAAGCCACACGCCCTTACCCTGCAGCATACAAACCCATTGAGGCTGGACCCTGACACTTCTAATGACAGTATGAAGTGCAGGGCTGTTATAAGTGGGCATTCCTGTGACTTCTGACTAGTGGTCCAAACTACCAATCCACGACATACCTTATCAAACAGCTAGAGGCAAGTTTTAATCAGTTTATTTAATTTTCGAATAAGAATTATTCTCAAGGAAAAAAATTTAAATAATTGGATAAGCATGTCAAAAGATCTTACATCATACAAAGTGCAGATCTGAGACAATAAAACATAAGAAAATGGGGCATAAGTGAACCTCAGTGGTAGAGTGTGTGGCATGCTTAATATTCATGAGGTTTTTGTTCAATCCTAGTACCTGAAAAACAGATAAACTATCAGAACTTTGGGTAATAAATAAAATTGCAATGAGGGCATAACTTCAGCATTTATTCATTCTAATTTTCACATTTGGTTTCACCATGGAATTCCTGACAGCCAGTAGATCAAAATGAGAGTAAATTCGTCTGGATGAGATTCCTTCTGAAGAGTCACTGTAAATAGGGCAGAGGCCATCTTTGTCAGGTACTCAGCTCCTGGTCTGAGAAGCCATACTCTGTTGAAGACACCGCCCTATACAGACCTGGGAAGGAAGATGAAGGTAGGAAGGGGAACTGCTCTGCACGGCCTGGGAGAGCCCTGGAGCAGAATGCATGGAGGAGGAGAAGGTCCTAGGGGACCTGAGAGCGATTTCTCTTCCCCAGGTTAAGCACACACCCTCCAGTTCTGCTGTTTTGTACCCAGAACAAGCTTAATAGTTCTTAGGGGACTCTAAACAAACCATAAATAAGAGCGCATTCTCTGAACTTGTCACAGCCAGTAACTATCAGCCAGTGTGTTGCAAACAATCTTTTATTTTCCAGCTGACAGTTTTGGACTTAGGGCTTTCTTCCCTTCTTCCGCAGTGACTGTCCTTCTCCAGAGAAAGCAACAAATCTGCCCCCAGCTTCATCCTAGGTGTAAAAACAGGATAGCACTTTTATAAACTCCTCAAAGTTTAAAGCAATTTGCTTTACTCTATGAACTCATGTGTTCTCTATCTACTTTCCCAGCTTCATTATTCATAATAAGAAATGCTTCTTGAGGGGCTAGAGAGATGGCTCAGTGGTTAAAAGAGAGTATTGCTCTTTCAGAGGATTCAGTTTCAATACCCAGCATCCATGTTGGGCTGCCTGTAACTCCAACTCAAGAATCAAGAAAGAAAGACTTGATTCTTTCTTCTAGGATCCTAGGGCACATGCACAGAGAGCATATATACACAGCACATATTCACATAATCATCTGTCTCTCTCTCTCTCTCTGGATTTTATGGCAGTGAGAAACCCACAGATCACAGCTGTGAGTCTCTATCACCTTGTTTTTAGATTCGCTGCACAACCACTCCTCAACTTATGGAGGGGCTATGTCTTGATAAGTCATTTTCAGGTGAAGTTATTAAGGTGAAAAGGCATTTCCTACATCTCTCTTCCAAACACCCAGCTCAACTACTCCACACCAGTGTTCTGGTGGCTTCCCTTGGGCCATGGAGAGGGAAAGGAACCTATGGCTCCTTGTTATATTCAGCACTCAGAAGGATCACACCATTTATTAGCCCAGGAAATTATCAAAATCTAAAACTCTAAATATAGTTTCCATTCAACATTTATCACTTTCACAGCAATAGAAATTCTGAAAAATTCTAAAATGAACCATGATAGTTTGGGAGCTTTTTACACAATAATCATTTTGTATTTAAAAAAATTTTTTTTTTCTGGTTTCTTGAAACACAGTTTCTCTGTTTAGCAGTCCTGACTGTCTTGGAACTCACTCTGTAGACCAGGCTGGCCTTGAACTCAGAGATCCACCTGCCTCTGCCTCCCTAGTGATGGAATTAAAGGCATGTGCCACCACCGTCCGGACCGTATTTTAAAATTTTTATGTATATGAGTGTTTTGCCTACATATATCTGTGTAAAACATGCATGCAGTGCCCATAGAGGCCAAGAGAGGGCACCAGATTCCCCTTAGGACTAGAGTTACAGATGGTTTTGAGCTACAATGTAGGTGTTGGGAACTGAATCCTGGTCCTCTGTGTCACTGCCCTTTCTCCAGCCTTACAAAATCATTTTCAATGTAAAAAGTGTAACACCCCACAAGAGAAAAATCACCGTCCACTATTTCACCAACCCAAATGTTATTTCCAGTCACTTTTCTGCACGTGTTTCCTAATCTAAATTCCTTACTTCCAGGGTGGCGATTCGCTAAACTATTGAGATAAGAAGCTTACTCTCTGCCCACAGCTCTGTTCTCTTTTATTTTCTAGCAGGGAATTCTGAACTAAAAGGTAGGTGCACATATTTCAAAAAGCTTTTTATATACAGACCAAGCAACCATAAAAAACCACTACCAATCAATTCTTTTACAAACAGCAAGATTTGTCTTCAACATTGTAAAAACAGCAGGGTGCCCCTCCCCCCAACAGGCTTTTAACTGCTGGAGAGTTGAGGAATATCTCTTGGTTTCCTATGGTAGAGGAATCTGCAATTTTCAAAACATATCTTCACACCTACTGTGTGTGACTCACCACATTTCTAAGTTAATCTGATGTTTATATGATGACAACCATGCAAGTTTTAGATTTGAGGAGGTTTAAGGAAGCAATGATCTCATTTGGTATGTATTCACTTTTTTGAGGCACATGCTAAATTTATGGTCAACTAGCTATCACACAAAACTGGAGAGACTTGGTTATAGCAGTACTGAAGCCTGGTCCTCAATTACAGTAGAGAACCTGGTGGAAAGATGAGTCTTGGACCACTGAACAACGAAGCAGCGTTACAGGTATTAAAATTTCCCAAGACCAAATTCCTGGAGAGGGCAATTATGCTGATGTACAAAGACAATCTACATGTGATGATCATACCCTAGCTCTATGCCATGCAGCAGCTTTGAATGCTTGGGACAGAACTAAAGACGTCAGAAAGAGAACTGAGTCATTTACTAAAGTTATACAGTGCCCCAGAGAAACCTTCATTGATTTTTTTCAAAGATTGACTTCAGCAATAAATAGGATGATACCAAATTCAGAAGCTAGACAAAAAATAATTGAATTTCTACTTTTGAAAATGCTAATTTGCAAAACAGTAATTAGGCTTTTAAAGGTAAGATTAGCACCCCTAGAGGAATGGATCCAAGATACAGTCAATACTGAATCTCATAACCATGATGATGCTTAGATAAGAGAGGTGATTTCCAGAGGCTTGAAGAAAACCCAAAATGCCAGATGTTTTAATTACGGGTTAACAAGGTCACCTAAAAAGGAACTGTAGGCAGGGCATTCCTGGAAACAAAGTTTTTTCCAAGAATAATCCAAGCAGAATGCCCCTCCTATATGGAGTATGCAAAAAGTGTGGCAAAGGCTGACAATGGACTAGAGAATATAGATCAACAGGGGACAGACAAGGTAACCCTTTGCCACTGGGAAACACCTTGGGTAGCTGTAGTCCAGATACAACTGCTGTGTAGAATACAATGTGCAGCAGAACAAGCCACTTATAACTGATGCCCAATGCCTTAGAGTAAGTTTCTGTGTAGTAATGCCTCCTGCTTCTAAGGCA